ATGGGGGCTGGATACAGTGAGAGGAGCCACTTTGCCTCTCGCACAACAAGATCTGTAATGTCAGGATCTTAGACAGAAGGTATCGCTGTAACTATGGGTGCAGGGGTATAGGCTCGATCTTGGAACAGCAAAGAAAGAGCTCATGCTGCCTCAGGAACGCAACCCTGACGACCCTCGAACAAGCAGAAAAGCGTGTCTGGCACTCGGGAAGCGCCAGGCTCAACTTCAAACAGCAGCGAATCCTGCTTTTGCAGGCTCCTTTTGTGCTGGCCTAGGCCCTAGGCCCTAGGTCTAGGCTAGGCGCCCAAGGCCCGGTACGCCGGGCAGAGTTGATGAAGCTTGCTGTCGCAGAGGAGCTCACCGTTCGATAGAACCACCTGCGACTCAAAACCGTAGTGCTCAGCTGTCGAGAGGGCTCAGAAGCACGGAGTCACAGGTGCACCTGAAGTTTCCACTTCGGTGCATGGAACTGCTCCGTCAGGCGTGTCCAAAACTCCTTCAGACTTGCTGAGATGCAACATACACAGCTGATCCGGCTTGTTATCTCCAGCTCATGTCGAAACAGCCAACACCGTGTGACCAGCCTCGACACACAGCTCGGACACTGCAAAGCCTTGCAGCTACGAGTGCATGTCAGCGCATGCACTGTCAGCCTCTGTCATCGCACTCCAACGTAAGAGCCCACCCACCCATTGCTTTACGGCAGCCGAGTCACTCAGCACGGCTCGCCCAGCAAGGCTGAAGCATTGCCAGTGCTTGTGGTCTGCATCACTAGGTACCTCAGAGAGGGCCCTCCCAACTCGACCTGCACATGAGAGCCATCATCAACCATAAATTCAAGAAGAGCCGCGAGCTGGACTACGATGGGGGAGTGATCGCCCGGCCAGCTGGGAACGTAGACCTCGCCTGCCTACCAGAACGGAAGCACACGAAAGAACAGAGCAAAAAGACGAGATCAAACACTGTAGGCATGTATCATGTAAGCTCAGAAAGAAGGAAGGAAACCCGCGAAAAGTGCGTAAGTAAAATGTACGTAATGTGTGTGTGTGTGCGCTTTTAGATGCATGTACATATATATATATATATAGATATATATATAGAGGTATATATATTTTTTAATATGAAGAATACTATTCATATTATTATAATGAACAACACATAGGGCAACCTCAACCAAACCTCTGGATGCCATGCTTCGTGGACTTCAGTTCTACGATGAGCAGCTGTGTTCAACTTCCAGAAGGAACACCAGAACGGTGCGAGACCCGAACATTCTGGAAAAAACAGCCCCGCTGTTTACGCAGGCCTCGGGTTCCGGGACCTGGCATTGACCCCAGTGATCATCGCCGAAGGCCACCACTCGGCCATCGCTGCGCAGCAGAACCTGGCGATTTGGTAGGGACTTCTGGAACTGTAGATGATTTTTCTCAAACTTGTGTCGAAATTTGGCGAAAGTTGTAAAGCCTTAGGGGCTAGGCTGCGACAAGACCTTAAGGAACCTGATGTCATCTAGCATGATAAGGATGGCGAGAAACCGTGTGGAGGTCGCCAGCCGAAATGTCTTCCTTGGCTGCTCCGACCATGCCTTTTGAATCAAGGCATGCCCAGGACATGCGGAATTGCGTTAAGCCGAATTTCATATCTGAGACCTGCTGGCAGATCAGGGACATCGCACTGTCCGCACCTTCAACGGCAGGAGTAGGAAGCAGTCTTGTTGTCACACTCAGACTAATTGATTTGACGACAGCGCACCGGTTGTTCCCGACGGTCAGCACTCGTCCATCACTGCACAGCATTGCTGTGTGAAGTCCTCCAGCCGAAACCTGCAGCGAGTCGGTCCACACTGTTTCAGAAAAAGAAACCCTCAAATCTTGATGCATGTTTGCAAACCTCAGAGGGATGAGAAGATGCTTGTGAAACTGTTAAGGCTCTGCTTCGACAGTTGTACACACTGCAAGCACCTTCCCCCGCGGTCTGTCTTTGAAGCCACATGAACACATTGGGGGGGGGACCAATCGCGACAAATCCATCATGTTGGGCTACTTCAGCTGCAGCACGAGTGGCCTTAGTGTACTCCAGATCCCCAGGAGAAGGAATGCTACACCTTGGCAAGGTAGGCAAGTGTGGGGCTGCAACGTTCACATGTTCGCCATGCCCGGGAATCTGCTTGGGCCAGCACTGGCCATAGCGGTTGTCTCCGGCAGCCACCACAGTGCCATCGCTGAGTAGCCACACTACGTGGAAATCACCAGCCGATACCTGAACGTACCTTTTCAGATGCACATGACCACAGTTGCCTTCACCGCAATAACGGCACTGTACTTCGACTTCTCAGAACGCGATGAATGGCCTCTGGTTGTCGTGCAAGTCTGGGATGTTCAGCTCGTGAACTTCGTTGTCTGCTCTCCTCAGCGGTCTGTAGTCAGCGACAGGCTCACTGACAACATTCACAGGATGCGCTGTGCAAGCCAGGGACACAAACATTTGGCCGTCATTGGTAAGCAAGACCGTGTGAAACAGGCCTGCAGGCAAGCCCATCACGGATCAGCCCCGTGATCGAGCAACATTCGCTGCAAGCACTGCTGGAAGGGATCAGTGGCCTGTTTCTACTTGGACAAACTTTCTGTCACCCTCTAACTCCGGAAAGTCCTCAGGCTGGCGGATGCTCTCGGAAGACACACGGCGACTGCGAGCTTTTAGTGCAGCCTGGCTGCCGCGAGAGGCGGAAAAGTATCTCCAATCGCTAAGGCCTTGCCATCGTTGCGCAAGAGCAAGGTGCGATTCCCAGCGGCGGAAACCTGCACGTACCTCATGCCGACGGGAGATCGCTATGCCCGAGGCGTGTAAATCTGAATCTTGGCCAGGAAACTGACAACCGTCATTGAGACTCGGAACATCGCACTGGCCAGCCTCACTTCCCAACACTCCAAGCAAGAAGGGGTTGATCTGGTCCCATCACAGACACCAAATTCATAGCAGGGAGACCCTGTTGTCGCCACAGGCCACAACATGGCCATCGCTCCGTAACAGGACACTGTGTGCCGTGCCTGTCGCGACCTGCTCAAGACTTGTCTGCTACAGAAACTTCCAGAAACTTGCCTGAAAAGGACATGCCTTACATGCATGTCCAGGTGGCCTGTACATACTCCAGGTTGCTGGGGATCTCTGGGATGTTGCACTGTCCGTGCTTGTTTGCCTTGTTGCCAAGAGTCAAGATCACTGCACCAGAAATTCCTAAGCCCCACATCGTGCCGAATTGCACAGAAACACCCGAGCCCAGAAAGTGATGGTGGGTGATGGCGGTGAAACGGCCCTCGACACGAATGGTCCGGAAACCCTCGAAGAGACGCGATGGCCTAATCGACAAAGATGCGTGCAAGGGGTCGCGGTTGCAGCTTCAGGTTTAAGTTTAGGAGTTTAGAGGGCACGGGAAAACTCAGGCAGCTGGGGATTCTGCCCAGCCTCACTTCTTTCAGGGCTTTGGGGGTTTGTCGGCACTTTCCGCAGGCTTTATCCCAGACGACCGTCGCTTGTTCTTTGACCTCAAGCCCTACAAAGAGACGTCTTGGGGGGGGGGGGGGCAAACCCTGAACTACCAGAGCGATTACCAAACCTTCAAACAGGCGCTAGCTCTCAAGCCATCCTAAACCCGCACCCATAGACAAAGATTCCTGGTGGGCAAACCCAGGCCCGTCAAACCCTGAACCATGGATGGAGTGATGCTTGGCAAACCTACACAGCAACAAACCAAAACGAGTGATGGTGGCCTGATTGCAATTCTGCACCCAAAATCAATGATGCACAAGCTATGCAATGTATCCTCATTGATGGTGGGGACACTCTCTTAGCCCCTAGGCGGTCATCCCACGGTCCGATCTAATTTGACCGGAGGAGGCAAGGTCGAAGTGTGCTAGTCCTACAGTGTTACTACGTCTTCGTTCAGCTGTCGCTCCAAAGTGCTACTTTGATGGTCTAGAACTAAAGCTTAGCGACTGGTTCCATATTGTGACTATATTATATTATACTATATCATATTATCATATACCCGAAACCCCATTCTAAATATTAGACTCCAAGACTCCAGCTCTTGCAGCCCAGCATCCCCAAGGCCCAGCGCACGACCGCTGCTCTGCAGTAGAACTGTATGGCGGCGGCCCATGGCTAAGCCAACCGTTACCGAAAGGTGTCCAGGAAACTGCACAAATCCCTCCCTCTGAGAACTTAAAGGTTGCCACTGTCTCGCCTGAACAGATATGGCTTCGCATGATGCGCCCGCGATCGGTGTGGTGTGCAAAGACATTCAAGGCTGGGCACCTACTGGGCTACGGCACACAGAGCGCGCGGCCCTGTGCGCGCATGTTCGTGACCCCGTGAGTCTGGGGTTCGCCGAAGCAGCCAGATCCACCCAGAGCTCAACCCCGGTAAAGGATCAGAGACATACCCCCCCCCCTCCAGGGGCTTGGGGACGCACGGATGTGTCAACGTAACACGATGCCTGGGCTGGAAACTGTAGAAAACTCAGGGCCCGCACGAAACACGGAAAGATGAGGCTGATGCGACTTGCCTTGAGTCTTCGGAGCCGCCTGCACTGCTTCGTGAGCTGTGTGACACAACACCTCTCCTGAGGCATCTGAGCTGCCAACCAACAGCACGCCCGGCTGAGCACAATCTGGCTCCGGCTTCGGCGTCCTCTTCCTCTTCTTCGGATTTGCCTCCCGTCGTGCTTCGCAGATCTTGGCAAACTCTCACTTTACGCCCGAAGCTCTGGTATCGGCCTCTAGGTCGACAGAAGGCCTTGGAAGGTAGCAATGTACTGCACTACCACAGGCTCCTCAATGCCAACCAGTCGCAGTTCCGGTGCGGGCAGCGCCGGCATGTTCTACATATCCACCGTGTCTAACTTTGGAAACGGTGCTGCGGATGCTTGGAGCCTTTTCACTGTGTGGATGGAAGAACGAGAAGCACCACAACTGGAATGATCTGCAAGGGCGGGCGCGCACCGCGTCCACCACAGAGCCTCCTTCAATGCCGCAAACGTGTTGTGGAGAGCTTCGCGCTTCCTTCCGTGACAGCTGTGGTACAAGTCCGGAGCTGTCTCAACCTGTCAGACATGGCCTGTTGATGACGTCAACAACGGAGGCATCTGCCTCATCCTTGAAGGAATGGGCCTTGCACATGCAATCGGACGGGAAGCCGGCACACTTTGCAGCGACGGAAACACGGCCAAGAAGCATCCATCAACTCGAAAAGGGCTTCAACTTGGAACTCCAGGGAGCGTAGCATAGATGCCAAAGGCTCAATGCCTTCTTGCCAGGGCCTCCAGAGCGGAAATGGCCCGATTGCAGCAGCAGAAGAGAGACGTCTGAGAGCTGGACCAACTGTAGAAGCCGGAGTCCATGCTCTTCGTCTCGAGCCCCCGGTCGTGGTCGGTCAGGAGAAGGCCTTCAGAGACCTCCGACACTTCCTCGGCTTTTACCGCTTTTGCGGTCAGAGTGAGGGTGAGGCGTGTGAGGGTCCTAGACTCCTAGGCACGGAGATGCTGCACCGCACTCGTACAAGCTGGCATGCACTGTGTGCGCTGGCTATTCTCTCACAGGTGTGCAAAGGAGAAGCAAACGTTGCGGAATGACCTGAATCCATTTGGCCAAGTGTCGGCGAAGGATGCTGCGTAGGGGTCTACAGCCTCCGGAGACACGTCGATCTCTGCTTGTCGCGGTCTTTTCATGTTGGAGGTCCTTCGTAGCGCCCCAAAGTGGCCCGGCTTGGATTTCTGCAGCTTGCGCGCAGGAGGTGCTGGAGGAGCTGCGGCTTGCACCGCAGTTGAAGGCCTTAGATAGGCGCCCGCCATCAGATCCTCCCGAGCATCCGCCAGCTCCAGCAGCTGTTCAGCGCCCCTCGCTCGGTGCATACCTGTGCGCCCTGTGGACCCTGCTGTGCAACTTGTGTTGCGTGTGGTGCCGACTGCAATATTGGCATGGCTGGGTGCGCCCCGCCGCACACGCCGCAGGGTGGAGGGGAAGTCCGCGGGGACCATGGGCTCGGACTCCCTGAGCTCGGGCTCACGAAGAAGGGATGGGGAGGAGCTGCATCTCCCCATCGCTGGCGGAGCAGGGGGATGATGCGCGTGCGGAGCCATGGTGACCCTCTTCTCGAAGGCCGGGGCGGAGCTACGGCGCTCCTCGTCTCGTGGCCTCTGGGGTGGGCCCGGGCGATTCGAGGGGTTCGACGGGCTGGGGCCTGGACCCGCGAGAGGCTCCGACTGCCACGGCCACGGGCTCTGCCAGGGGCTCGGCTTCGCCTCGGAGAGCCCCGAATCGAGTGGACCCCGGCCCGGCCTCTCAAAAAGGATGCAGAAAAAGATCACATGAGACGACTCAGACATGACACCCCCGAGCTCCTTCGCACCGGAAGATCGAGTCTGACGGGCTGCTGGAGCAGACTCGCCTGCCAAGAAAAGCGCCAAAGGAAAGCCCATGCCCCACGCTTCCTGCGATGAGCGTCGGGCCAGCTTCTGCGAAGGAGATGCCTCACACTCGCAACCACATAAGAAACGAGCTTGACGAGGCAATGCACGGCGGCATGCAGCAAGCTAGGAAAGGGGCAGCAAAAACCTTCACGGCCCTTTTTGACCATGTCTCGGAAGCTCGGCCAAAAGTATTAGGCTGGAAGCTCCGCTTGCACGAGCGAGGCGTGCTCCTCGACCCAGGCCTTCCTGCAAGGCTTGGCGAGGCCCAAGAAAGAGGGACACACGCTTCCCCTCACCCTCTCTCTCCACACTCCAGCTGCAGCCACAACGCAAGGTCCGCGATGGCGGGAGAATCTCCAGGACCTCTGGGCTGCTGGGGAAGTCCAGGAGTCCCTGGCACTGCTTTCGCTTGCATGGACACCACCAAAAACAGCAAAACTCACACTCCCATTTTAAAGGTACTCGAAACGTTGGTGTAGCCGGCCGAGGGCATAGGAAAACGGATATGTCAGGGTCCGGTTGCAATTACCTGAGCACTTTCAGACAGTGGTGCCGGGCCAGGCACTGAAACTGTCACGGGCTGACCGAAGCGAACTCAAGGAAAGCCGGCAATAGGGTGTCCAAGAGCATGAGCCTTCTATGGCAGGATTGTCGGCTACAACTCAGTGAACGGACGCTAGCAGGAAGCTTGCTTCTCTTCCGATTGTTGGGTTGAGGGGTCAGACGCAGAGTGAGTTCATTCCGTGTGCAAATCACAGCTCTTGCGTGGGATGTGGTAATGGTGCCGGTTTGCAGTTGTGAGTGCTGAATGCTTCATGTCTCCGAAGAGGCAAAGCTCAGCGGTGACACAAAGGCTACCAGAGCATTCTGGACGAGACTTGCTCCGTCCTTCGGCCGGGCCCGACGGCCCGACGGCCCCAAGGCATTAGCTCTAATCGCCTTGTCCCAGAAGTCTGTGAAGTTCCGGCACACTGCTTGCGCCAGCCAACCGGGGAAGCCAGCCTCGGCGCTGGAACAAGCCTAACCTTTGGGCGCAATGGCACGGAATTAGAGCAACACCGCCTTCTCCGCATTCCCGCTCCAGTCTTCTGCAGAAATCTGCACCGCTGCAATGGTGCGGCCGAGGGCTGCAGAGAAATGCCTCAACAGGGCTTGGGGTTTCAGGGTTCAGGGTTCCTTCATTTCGGGTCGAGGTGTGCTCCCTCTCTCCTCTACACTGAATCCACGATGAGCAGCGCAGCCACGTCCGTCGTGCTGACGGCCTCTGGGCCGCAGACGTCGTAGATCTTGCCTTTGGATTATGAGCAGCTGTGTCTGAACAAACAGGTAGAAGGCAATCCATTCACGGACGTTCATCTCCTAGACCGTTTCTGCATGGAAGTATTCCGAACATGAGCCAACAGCATTCAGTCGAGCCTTGGTGCTTTCTTCTTTCCTCGGGGCTCAGCATCAGGAGCTTTGCGGCAAGATGGCCTGGGCCAGGTCATATCACAAAAGGACTCCCAAGCCCTAAACCCTAATCTCTAAGCCCTAGATATCCCTAAACCTCAAGCCCTAAACACATCGTGGCACGGGAAGCCGAGGCCCGCTCCGACATCCCTTACGTCCACGCTTCGTGCCAAGCTCGTGGGCTGGACTGGATATGCAACGACTCCTGAAAAGCCCAGCTTTCTCGAAAAAGCTGCAGCCCAGACTTGCGACCGAGCATGGCGACGAATTCTGTGAAAGACGGCCTTGCGGAACGGATCCGAAGATGTCTGCAATGTGGTTCTGCAAGAAAAAATTTGGCCTTCACCAATGGAGCAAACGTTGACTAAGTCGTAGCGTCGTAGTTGTAGCAGTGTTAGCAGTGCGAGCAGTGGTGGTAGTGGTACTGGTACTGGTACTGATACTGGTAATGGTAGAAGCAGTGGTAGTGGTAGTGGTAGTGGTCGCGGTAGTGGTAGTGGTCCTGGTAGTGGTAGTGGGCGTGGTAGTGGTAGTGGTCGTGGTAGTGGTAGTGACAGTGGAAGGTAGTGGTAGTAGTAGTGGGTTACGGGGTCGAAGTCGACCCCTGCGTTTTGCATATTTTAGGAATATGCTGAAGATTGTGTGTGTGTAGGTGCGGGTGTGGGTGTGAAGATTGTGTGTGTGTGTATGTGCGGGTGTGGGTGTGTGTGTGTGTGTGCGTATGTGTATGAGGGTTATAAGGAATCCAATGAGAAAA